AACATTTGCTTGGATTAAATGAATAAATGAAACGTGCATGTCTTATCCAATTCAATGCTAATTAGACGAATGTAGTAGAATCTTTCGGCTAAAGGGTTCAGCAAGGACAAAACTGTGGGCAGCGGACTAGAGACTACCCTGCTAGTAACCCTACTGTGTGTCACCTGAACCATCTTGGAGGTAGTATTTCTCCCAGCATCATTGGAGCTTTAGGCTTAAGATTTTGAGCTATTTGACCCCGGGAACCGATGACGCAATCGTCTCCTGTAACATTTGTTGGCCCTCATCTATGTCTTGATTACGGTAATGCGCTTAATCCAATCAAGCGCCGCCCCGCTGACACCTGGCCCCGCCCCTACCGCGCGGCAGGGTTCCCTAGATCGGGACGTGAAGTGCTGACAGTCTTAGTCGCCATTCCATCATGCAACATCCTTATCCGACCTCCTTTCACTATTCTTATACAGACTCCGAGGGACAGGTGAGTTCTTTTCTCATAATCAATCATTTGATGTCGATTAAATGTGCTATTTCTCCTATTAGCGAGGTTTTTATGAGTTTGAGAGATGATATACATTTTTTTGCCATTTCTGTGGACTAGTGGTCCCTACACATTGACAAGAAATCAGACAACTAGCCTAGTCTAAATGCACGATTTCAGACTAGCACCACAAATACGCCAATGGAGTCCCCCGCCTATCCGCCACCGTATCCCTGCTCCCAGGAGCAGTACGATATGAACCAGTCGGTCAGTCACCCACTGGGCATTTCGGGCCTCTACATCAGTAGTAACATAGTGATTTCAGGTAAAGCGTGAAAAACGGAAGTACCGTTGTCGTAAGCGAAGTCCTGCCACCATCGAGAGAGCCCGTATGATCCGAAGGGATAAAGTAAGTCCTTGAACTGCTGCTTGCTCTCTGTTCCCTTCTATAAGGCTCACCTTCAGGCGAATGCTCGTGAACGTCGTCGAATGAACAGTCTAAATGATGCGTTGGAGCATCTTCGTACGCTGTTGCCTACAGAACCAGAAGAACCCAAAATGACAAAGATAGAAACACTTCGAGTCGCTCAAGGGTACGTTTCTAACCCTTCCCGTGATTTTTGAGTCCCTTGACAATATCAGAAGGAGAATGTTTCAGATATATCGCCTATCNGACTACCCTGCTATCTCAATAGTAACCCTACTGTCTGTCACCTGAACCATCTTGGAGGTAGTATTTCTTCCAGCATCATTGGAGCTCTGAGCTTAAGATTTTGAGCTATTTGACCCGGGGAACCGATGACGCAATCGTCTCCTGTAACATTTGTTGGCCCTCATCTATGTCTTGATTACGGTAATGCGCTTAATCCAATCAAGCGCCGCCCCGCTGACACCTGGCCCCGCCCCTACCGCGCGGCAGGGTTCCCTAGATCGGGACGTGAAGTGCTGACAGTCTTAGTCGCCATTCCATCATGCAACACCCTTATCCGACCTCCTTTCACTATTCTTATACGGACTCCGAGGGACAGGTGAGTTTTCTTCCATAATCAATCATTTGTTGCGGATTTGATGCGATATTTCTGCTGTTAGCAAGGTTTTCTATGAGGCTGAGTGATGAGACCATTTTTTGCCATTTCTGTGGACCAGTGGTCCCTATACATTGCCAAGGACCCGGACAACTTTCTAGCTTCAATGCACCATTTCAGACTAGCACCACAAATACGCCAATGGAGTCACCCGCCTATCCGCCACCGTATCCCTGCTCCCAGGAGCAGTACGATATGAACCAGTCGGTCAGTCACCAACTGGGCATTTGGGGTTCCTCTGTTAACTGCAACGCTGCAATTTCAGGTGAAGCGTGAAAAAAGGAAGTACCGTTGTCGTAAGCGAAGTCCTGCCACCATCGAGAGAGCCCGTATGATCCGAAGGGATAAAGTAAGTCCCTGAACTGCTGCTTGCTCTCTGTTCCCTTCTATAAGGCTCACCTTCAGGCGAATGCTCGTGAACGTCGTCGAATGAACAGTCTAAATGATGCGTTGGAGCATCTTCGTACGCTGTTGCCTACAGAACCAGAAGAACCCAAAATGACAAAGATAGAAACACTTCGAGTCGCTCAAGGGTACGTTTCTAACCCTTTCCGTAATTTTTGAGTCCCTTGACAATTTCAGAAGGAGATTTTTTCAGATATATCGCCTATCTTGTATCCATTTTAAGCGAATCAGAAGGAGGCTATCAACCATCTCCTGAGAGCGTATCGTATGCCAGTCCTACTTATCCATCCGTCTGGCAAGAAAAGTTTCATTAATATGTGTTTTTACTTTTATGTGCATTGTATTCCAATCGTTGTTTGTACATACCGTTCAATTTCCGTCTGGTCATGGGTTCGTTGAATGCCAAATAAACTGATTTACCTCGATGATACCCTTTGATAATGTCTGATGATGAGATAATCGGCTCTCAACCGAAAGCTATAGATCGAGTAAATCAGTGATATTTTTGATACACTGATCTTCGAAAGGAGCTTTGGAAGAGTGTCTAGGAGGTTGGCCCGTTGTCTACTTGCCGGTATACCGACTATGCCGCAAAATCCCCCATAAAATTTTACCAGATGAGTGTTTCACGGCTAAGTGGTATAGTTACTATTGTGTACTAGTTAATTAGTTTCTTCGTTTCACAGATCACCAGAGAACTTACTGAACTGGTACACCTCAACGATTTCTCAGCTTTCTTTCTTCGCTCACACACATCAACCTGGGTTTCAGCAAACTGCTATCGACGACTGACTTTTACTTTGTTTGAGTTGCTCCAATTTTTGGTTACGACAGTACCAAATATCCTCAGCAATGTAAATACGCGACCGAATGTAGAAACAAACTAGTACATAGGTAATTAGAAAATAAACACATAAGTACATATCTGGGCGCGCTCATGGTCATGTCATAATTGGTACTGTCAGCATTTCAAGCCAGTTGAAAAAAAATCGTGCACCTATCACATTTTTTAATACCAGTTGGATCGCCCGCCTTACGCCGGGCCTCATTCCTTACTTTTACCAAGTAGTTAGGAGAGGTAGTTAGGGAAGGAGGTATCGCTTTCATCCAACACTGAGGGCGAGGTGAGATGATTACCCTTCCCTCCTGAAGCTCAGATCAAAAAGCTGTATTTTCTCGGCTAAGAAACGTTAACGGGCACAATTATGGGCTAACTTCCTTGTGATGAAATTATGTTGAAAAAGAGCGGAGGTAATCCTCCACCTCCGATTTTTGCAAGGACATACATACCACGATGCCGGAACAGATTGAAATTACAATTTTGAGGTACCTTCTTCACTCCACGTCACTCATTTCAATATGCACTACTCACTCTACTCTATGAACCTACCCACCGAGTTATGGCCTTTATCTAGAAGGAAGTGTAGGAAGAAGGAAGTGTAGAATAGAGCTAGGTTTTCCTTATTACTGCCTTTATCGTAATCACAAACTTCTCGGACGGACAGACACACAAACCGACATACCGTCAAACCGACAAACCGACACACCAAGTTACTGCTTTATAAATGAGAGGGATAGCGGGTCGGCATCCAGCTCATTTTAATTCTTACGAAGGTCTCGGTTATCCAAAAAAACAGTAACTACAAGATGATACAATGTTTGGTCAAAGAAGAGCGAAAGTTGGGCCTAACTATAAAGTTACTGGGCAGGCCCCTATGAAATGGTGTGCTCTTTGGACTCATGAACGTTATAATGCTCAAGACTATTTTTGGACCATCGACAGAATCGAATCTCACCCAGAGTGAAGACGCTTGATGTAAGTATTAACAGACTGGTCCGCAAAGTTTAAACCGATCTGACTACCTTGCCTTTGCGGACCCCTGTGGAGAGCTAATTAACTCCAAAACAACTCTTTTATTCTATACGTAACTCACTGTGCCGGCATGAACCAAACTGTGTCGGCATGGTCCAAAGGCGACAAACTGCTGAATGACACATTTTTCCTCTTTCGAAGGTTGTTACAAATTTATATTGGATCTGGATACCCAGCTGTGAGTTCAGAAATCTTTCCAATATGCTCCGTAATTTTTGAATAGGTCCATAGAAAATAAATTACGTGAAAACCTACTGTCTGCGTGGATCCTATGCATTGGGAACTGGTCCGTGAAAACTGGAAAGTAATTCTTTAATTATTTTCAGAAGGTGGTAAGTTTTGAGCAAAACACAAGACCTTAGCCTGCTCTTAAACCCCTTCTCCTGCTTTCCGGTCACTTTCACTTTATGCTTCAATCAATTTATTATCGCTTCACTACCCAATTGGTGTCGAAAGCATTTTCGTAGCCATTGCGCAAGAGGCACAAATGTTCCTACGACATCTATACATGCTAATTATTGGCATTGCATATATGAATATATGCCATAGCGACTTTAAAGTCACAGTTCACGTTATTTCTGGATAATTTAAATTATGAGGAAAAATGGAAGATAAGATGGAAAATAGGGCGATGAAGGCAAAGAAACTGCGTGAGTCGGTGTTTCCAAAGTGAAAAAGGCTTCAAAAAATCATTAAAAAGGAGCTGGACGAAAGGAGACCAGAAAATGAAGAAGAACGGGGCGTTTGGACGAGCTGTACAATGTGTGTCATTGCGCTCGTATGGGTCGTGGTGCGAATAGCCGACTACGGTAGGCGCAAATCATTCACACATGGCATAAGCTGACAAAAAATCCTTGCTACAGCAGAAATAGCGAACATTTTTCAGCCTTTCAAAGTAGAATTAGAATAAGAATTGCAGCAGCAAAAAGAAAACAGAGAATAAAAGAATGGGAGAAAAACTTCGCCTCATCACTCGGCAATCAGCTGGTTGTGTGTGGGTCCTAAAACGAATATTGCAATCTGTATCACCTCGACACTCGTCTAACGTGACACCGATCGAGGGGCGGGAAGT